ACTGCCGCACTGCTGGTCAGCAGTCATTGTAACATATCACATACTCATGCTTATAAGGCTGCAGAACCTTCTCAAATTTCACATTTCTCATTAATAAAGTAATATACAATTCTACATACTCAGACTTCATACATGCAACAAACCATCATTATATAAATTATATAATTTTAGGGATAAAAGGGATCTCAGAGTCTTCCCTTTTAGTGGTCCTGGGGGTGGGAAGAGAAAAGGATGAGAATCTGCCAAGGAGAAAAAAATATATATATAAATATTTATAATATATTTCTAAGTGTATGTTTATATATGCCACATGGAAATATATTTTAAAATTATATATATATATAAATAAATACATATAGGGGGAGGGCCCTCCCCCACTGTTCACTCATGGAAAACACAGAAGCCATCAACCACAGCTGCTGGCCACCTCCTCTGTTTCCCATTTCCTGACTTTCCCCTTAATTTACACTAATCCAGTCATATCCTTTGAGTCTTTGCTGAACCCTCAACACATTTTCATGACAGCACTGAAAATACTTCATTAAACCTGGATTTGGTATCTCCCCTTCAAGACCATGAAATTCCTATCTGGTAAGTAATGTGTTGTTATATATTTTTGTATTCTCAACTCCTAGTAGGAGCTCAATCATTGTTTGGATAGTGAAAAATGACTTACTGCATGAAGCTATGTCTTGAACCCTGTTGATGTTGGTACCCCAGTGTTCTCAGGCTGAAGCTCAAACTTCTCCCAGTCTGGCCCCAACCTAAGGCCTAATCCAGTGGTTTTTAATACAGGCTGTACATTAAAATCACAGTGTAGGGTGGGGTGGGCTGGGGTGAGTGGGGAATTTGAAACATATGCTGATGCCTAGGCCTCCTAGAGATTCTTGATGAATTTGGTTTGTGAGTCATACCCAAGCATCAGAATTTTTGATAAAAGTACTCTAAATGATCTCCACCTGCAGCCAGGGTCCAATGTTACTCCTCATTAATTGGCCGTCTCTATACCACACTGGAGAATCGTTTGCTATCATTAAATATTCTTAACAGATACCCAGGACCACAATATAAAGAGGAGCCCAAGTAGGAAGATTCAGGTGAAGTACTTTCCCTCCCAGGTTGTTTCCCCATCTTAATCTTTCTCAATCTCCTGACTGATAGCTAAACATCCTTTCCTTGTACCTACTTTTCAACTGCTCTGGAGGATTCATTCATTCAACAGATAGCTGCTGAGAGCCCACAATGTCCCAGGCACTGTTCCACAGGTTGAGAATCAGCATGAACAAGGCAGCTAAGGCACGTGCACGGAGGGAGCTTACCATCCCTTAAGGAAAGACAGACAACAATAAACAACTTAAGCTCGCTTAGGTATGCCACCAGTAGCATGCTGGTAAATTAACTACTGGAGAGCTCTGATTTATAGAATTTGCCTATTTCTATGGTATATATACTTCCACCACAGCAGATTTCAAGCTGCTCACTGAATATGCACAGTAGCCACTGTTACACAGGATTTTCACTTTACAGTGTGATAGATATAATCACCGCAAGAGCACAGATAAAAGAAAAATTTAGTATAATAATTAAGAAGTGCTGGGTTTTTATTACTTTTGTTTTTAACAGTATTTAATTGTAAATTTATAAAACTTAATCTTTAATTTTTACTAATGGCTGTGCTTTAACAGTAGGCTTGCACACTTCATGAAAACTAGCAATCGGCTTTGAGAGCCAGTATGAGACTACTGTGGCATAACACCAGAAAGAGAATATAAAGAAAATACTAATGAGAAAGAGTGACTTGAGAACTACTTTAAATTAAATGGTAAGGCCTCTCTGAGGTGGTGATGTTTGAGCTAGGTCCTCATTTAAAAAAGGCAGGAAGGCAAAGTAACAGAGCATGCCATGCAGAGGGGGCTGTGAGCACTCTGAGGAGAGTAAGCTCATTGCCTGAGAAGAACAGGCCAGTGTGGCTGAAGCCCAGTGAGCAAGATTAATAAAATCAGTGAGGCAGCAGCTGCCTGATTCTATGGTCTTGAAGGACACTGTAAGGAGTCCAGACTTTTCACTCAGATTCTAACAGAAAGCCAAAGCTTGGGTTGTGGGTACACCAGTGATTACCCCTCCCAGTCTTCACTCTGTGTTTCACTGAAAGACTTCAGGCAGACTTATGCCTTCAGATACAACCCACTTGATGATGGCGCCAAATTTACATATATTTAGGCCAGACCTTCCTCTTTTGCTCTGGCACCATATTTCTAATTCTATTTGGTTAATTCCAAACACCTCGTGATGTGTCTGGTCCATTAATATGATAAACCACAAGTTAAAAATCATTAATTTTGCCTTGGCATCCCAAGCTGAACACATCCCGAACTGGAATTACTATTATACCATCTGACTAAACCTGCTCCTCCCCATATTTCCTATCAGCAAAAGGCATCATCATCCACCCAGTGGCCAAATCAACAGAAACCGGGAGTCAACTTCAGACAGCCTCCTGTTCCTTGTCACCACATTCAACTGCCCTAAATATCATACAAGCTCACATCTCTTCCTTCTCCCCAGGCTCACTGGCCCTGCCTTACTTCAGGCTTTCATCACTTCTCTGGGTTACTGCAGTAGTGTCCTAACAGCTCCGTGCTGATGGCATCACATTCTTTCCCAACCAGATTTCTTTCTGCAGTCTCAATTTAAGTGTGAGAGATTATCCACACAAATAACCAGGCGGGAAACGTAGTCATCTTCTCGGACGTGCAAAATACAAATCTGATCATCCTTAAATGGTCCCCTACAAAGTGAAGATTTTATCCTTAAGAGTGTTGTACACATGATACCTAAAATTCCTTGAGGAAATATCCTCTGCCTACTTCCTTAGTTTTGTTTCTCATGCCCCCTTTATTGAACCTTTACCTAACTACTTGGTTCCCTCAAACATGGAAGGGAGTGGTTTTCTTACATTAATGCCTAGGGCAGTCTTCCTCTCCCTCACCTCACATTCACATCTCAGGTGTCCCCTTCTCTTAGAAGCCTTCTCTGAGTCCCCAAAAGCTCATGTACCCCTACTCTTTACTCCCACAACATACTGTGCATTCTTCAGTTGCTTACTTGTAATCATTTGTTTACTTACATGACTTCCTTTGAGGTCTTTAAAGGTAAGGCCTGGATCTTTAACTACTCTATTATTATTGAGACTAATGACTGGGACACTGTAGGTAACCATTGCTGCAATGTTTGCTACACCAGCAGTATCTTAAATATTCTAAAACACTACTCTCAGATTAGATAGAGTATTGCACAGTAACAGTGTGGCTGAAGAAATAAATAAAGACAATAAGAAAAAGAAATAGGAAGAAAAAGTTCCGGTTATCAGGAAAGCAGACTGCTGTCACAAGAGAAGCAAGCTGTCCAAGTGCAGATGTAGAAAAAGTTCACATGCAATTGCCTTAGTTTTTCATGTGAAAAAATTGCCAAAAGTCTTATTATTAAAGAACTACTGGTGAACAGGGAAACAAAAAAATCCATTCCTTTCTTTAATGCACGAGTAGAAAATTGAAATCAATTAATTCTCCAGCTAGTTTAGGGCTGAAAAGGTGAGTCAGATCTAAACAGCAACCCTCTTCCCTACATGCCATGCCAGAAAATAAGGCTGTAATATTTCCACCACAGAACTGTGGGGTGAGAAGGTCACAGAGGAGAGGGATTAAAGTGACAAGTCTAAGAGAAGCAGCCAGTTAACAGCAATTATAAGCCCAGAGCTCTGGACAGTGATGGAACAGAAGTTTCCCCAAGTTCCAAAGAACACTGGTGTCCTAATACGTATTCTCTTTCCAAGCAGGGTCTTTTGTTTGTCGTGCTCTTTGTGTTCTCTGTTATGTAATTCTTACACAAATAAATATATTTAAGTCAGAAACTGGCACTACCTGCCAAGACAGGTAACATTCTTTTAAAATGCATTCCTTTATTTCCTCCTAAAGTAGATAAAAATTCATTCAGGGGCAAAAAAAAAATCAGTAGCCCCAGGATTGTGCAATTCTGAAAGCTACAAAGCTTCCACCTCATAATTTCTTCACAAAAACGTTCTGTTGGCAAAGTGGGTAAAATAGAGAGAGAGGGAGAGTTGGGGGTGGAAGGGAAACTGGAGAAAGGCTGGCTGGCATTAGCTGTCTTCCAAAACGATTTGTGGAAAAGGTACAACGGCAGATGAAAGACAAAAATGCAATACAAAATTCCATAAGTTCCAAATAGTCCTAGATTAAAAACTTAAAAGTCTTAAAAACTCTATGCCCAGAGACAAGCCAAATATTTTTTTCTCCAATTAATATCACAGCAGCAAAAAGGACAGGATTTGCTCAAGACAGCCCCACATGCACTGGCTGGAGAGAGCCGGATCCAATTCTCACCCCTCACTCCTCGTCAGGAGCTTACTGAAGGCCCGGAGCCTGGTGGAGGAAGCAAGAAGGAACGAGGGGAAAGGAACCAGGCGGGCCATCGCCAGCAGAAACTTCTAAAAGCATATCACACTGGTACACTCTCGGCCATATACCGTTGCCTCGGAAACCTAACCCCTCTGCCGGAGTCTCGGGATCCACTCTTTCGGGCCAAGGGTCGTGGCCGGTAGGAAGCCGACACCAGGGGAAAGGGGCCCTCTCTGGCGGCCCCGCCCCGGGCCTCGTTCCCCCGTGAGCCTACCGAGTAGAGGAGCACAACAGCGCCGGGACTGGTGGAGTTGACGGAGAAGCAGGAGTTGGATGAACTGGAAGAATCCATGGTGCAGCTGCCGTCCCGGTCCCGGTCGGAGTCTGGATTCTTTGCTACGCGATGGTGGTGGTAGCGCTGGCGGGGGCGGTTCTTCTACGCTGGGAGGCCCCACCTCGCCTAGGGCGGTGGCACCCTCTGCGGCCGCTCCCGGGGACCTCGGGCGCCGCCATCTTAGCCAGGACGGAAGCCGTGCGGGGACCTGGAGCGCGCGCGCAGCCTGCGGACTCTGGAAGTGGGCCGTCTCGCGGTGGACTCCGCATGGCGCAGGACCTTGAGCTTGGGATGTCTGTGTCTCCCGGCTCTCAGACACATCTGGACGCTCTGCTTAGAAACCTCTACGACTTTGGTGAGTGCAGGGCCACAGAGCCCACGTGGACAGCGGACTTGAGGAGCCGAGGGTCCACTGTGCGCCCGGAACTGGCCAGGCCTCTGCTCTCAGGCTAAAGGTTCTTGCACGGCGAGCACCCCTCCGCTTGTCGCCGGGTTCCGAGAATGGGTCCCGCACACAGCACCTCCATCGAGCTCACCTTTCTAGCCTCCACGATCAGACCCTGTTGGGTTACTCTTGGGGAATGAAACCTCCCAACTTTTCCTCAGTGTGAGGGCCAACCTAGTTGATTGTTCAAAGTATCCAGGCTTTCAGACGCAAACAGGATGATTCACACTGTACCTTGGGCTTTCAAAATAACCCATCTTCTAACTTTTTTCCCGGACCTCTGGGTAGCTCCCCCGACACCACCTCCAGGCCCTCCTGACCTTGTCACCTTGGGGCCCCATCCTTCGTTGTGTCGCTTGCCAAGGACTTAGAGCGTTTTCACATGATGTTTTTCCACGACCTTTTCTTCCTCTAAGTGGCCGACCTGTGCTCTCCTTAATTTTGATGGAGAAAAAGGAAAATAAAAAAGGTCAAAGATTGGCTACCACCTGGCACTTCAGCAGGAAAACAGCTCCGCACATTCCAAAAAACTTTCCCCAGGGAAGGTGACATCCTTTGTTTAGGCGCCAAAGATAACTGTTAGGCATTAGTGACCTTCAGGACGGAACAAATGTCTTGAATTAGTAGTGTCATGTTGTAAAAGCTATTATTTTATTTTGGAGCCATTGTTCAATTTTAAGTTCACTTAAACAGCAAAAATCACAGCTAAAAATTATTGATAATTTACCATGTACTACTTGCTTTTCACGTATTGACTTTTAGTTTTCAGAACAACCCTATGAAATAGTTATTAATCCCATTATTACAAATGCAGAAACAAGCACTAGAGGTTAAAAATGAACTGAAGTTCACTTAGCTAGTGGTCTGCAGAGCCTGGGTTCCAGGCCCCAGAGTGTCTAACTCCAGACCCCGCACTTGTATTGACTTACGCTGTGGACAGAGTACCTCTGTGCACTGTTGGGAATATTGGAAGATGGAGAAGACTTAGTCTCTGACCTTAGGAAGTTTAAAATCTGGAGAAAATGATTTCTGCAAAATCCTAAATATAGTTTATGTCATCACAGGTTGGAAATTATGCTGGGAGCTCTGAAGGCATGGGCTGTAACCAGTCCTTTCTGTATCCCTAATGCCAAAATTTAGTTGACTCTTAAAGTTTTTTTGAATGAAAGACTAAGAAAATAGAAGCAACCTTAAGTGATCAGCCAATATTCAGATGGCTCTGAGAGCTCAAATTCTTGTCAGAACCTTTAGATGACTGCTCAGAGTTAGAACAGGTGAAACAAAGAGGAGCTATGGGAATTTAATAGAAAATAAAGTTGTTCCAAGTTAAGCTGGTTGTCTTAAGTCAATCTTAATGCATAAAAGGAAAACTGAAACTGACCTGTAACCCTAGAAAGTGTTAAAAAGAAACACTAGCTGAAATGGCAGACGTTTTTAGTACAAATTGTCAGCTAGCTGGGATTACAAGTCCCTGGGACTGTTGCCATGATGACACTTTTAGTAAGGACCAAGTTGACAATTCACATAATTGTATGAGTAAGAGTCAAAGACATAAATATAATCACCCAGGAAAATATGACTGCATTTTGGATTCTATAAATTGGGCAAATACTATCTTATTTGAAGAAAAAGTTTCTTCTTAGTGTGTATTTCTAGGTGTTGATAGCTGTGGCGTATGTACAAGTGCGTTTACATGATTTAATGATTTGATAAAAATACTTATTTTTCCATTTTGTGCTTGAACAAACAGGGGAGACAGAAGATGAAGCAGGTAAGAAAAGGGTCAGAAAGAAAAGTGAAAGCAAGAAGAGAGATACAGGGACTCCAGTGGCCTTGACAGCAGAACTCACTCCCCTACCTGGTTCTCATGTAAGAGGCCCAAGAAAAAGTGCTACCTGCTTCTTCAGAGAGCTCAGAGAAGAGCTGCAGTGTGCTCCTGCTGTGACCCCCCTGGGCTATCCCTCAGGACCAAAAGTCTCTAGTGCTACAGTATCTCCCACATCCTTGAAGAACAACAGGGGGCAAGTAGAAGTGATAGAATTTCACAGCGGAAATAAAAAAAGACGACAGAAGCTAGATCCAGATGGTAGCACAAAGGTAATGAATTTGTTAATTTATATGGTGAAAACTCTGATATTGAGTATTAGACTTTATAGACTGTGTCAGGAACCCCAAGACTACCCCAGGCTCAAAGCATTTGCTGAAAGCATTCACAGGACCCAAGACTCAGCATATAGTCATAGTCACAATTACAATTTATTCTAGCAAAAGGCTACAGAGTAAAATCAGCAAAGTCAAAAGTACATGGGCCAAGTTTGGAGGAGACCAGGGGCAAGTGTCCAGGAGTCCCCTCCCAGTGGAGCTGCATGTGATATGCCTGTTTCCCCAGTGAAGATATGTGGTAGAATGTGGGAGGTGTTACGAACCAGGGAAGCTCCCCAGCCTGAGTGACCAGGGGTTTGTTGGGGGTTCAGTTAGATAGGCCTATTGACTGACTTTAGTTATTCAAGTTCTACAGCCCCAGAGAAAAAGCGGGTTTTCACCATAAATCACATTGTTAGTATAAGCTATCTGGGCATACCTAGTACAGCATGGCTCAAGGCCTCAGGTGTGCAAAAACACTCTTACTAGGCAGAATATTCTAATTGTTCCATTCCCAAGAGCCAGCCGAGGGTCAGTCACAAAAATAAGGCTTTCTTGGGACTGTGCAGGGTTTTATAAACTCAAGTCCACTAGGTTAACCCATTTATGCTCATAAGCCTTCCTGTTGATAGTGCTCAGAGGAAAGACTGTCATTCAACAAAACTATTTCTGGCCAGTGTTCTAGACCCTGGGATATACCATAATAGACAAGACTACTTTCTCTCAAGGAACTTTTATTCTTTTTTTTTTAATGTCTTAAGAGATTTTTGCCTATTTATTTATTTACTTTCTTTTGATATCATTAATGTACAATTACTTGAACAACGTTATGGTTACTAGACTCCCCCTGTTATCAAGTTCCCCCCCACATACCCCATTATAGTCACTGTCCATCAGCGTAGTAAGATGCTATAGAATCATTACTTGTCTTCTCTGTATATACTGCCTTTCCCATGTCCCCCCTATGCCTCCCCACCACTACATTATGTGTGCTAATCAGAATGCCCCTTTTTCCCCCTTATCCCTCCCTTCCCACCCATCCTCCCCAATCCCTTTCCCTTTGGTAACTGTTAGTCCATTCTTGGGTTTGTGAGTCTGCTGCTGTTTTGTTCCTTCAGTTTTTTCTTTGTTCTGGTACTCCACATATGAGTGAAATCATTTGATACTTTTCTTTGTCCACCTGGCTTATTTCACTGAGCATAATACCCTCTAGCTCCATCCATGTTGTTGCAAATGGTAGGATTTGTTTTCTTCTGATGGCTGAATAATATTCCATTGTGTGTATGTACCACATCTTCTTTATCCATTCACCTACTGATGGACACTTAGGTTGTTCCCATTTCTTGGCTCTTGTAAATAGGGCTGCGATAAACATAGGGGAGGGGTGCATATGTCTTTTTCAAACTGGGCTCCTGCATTCTTACGGTAAATTCCTAGAAGTGGAATTCTTGGATCAAATGGTATTTCTATTTTGAGCTTTTTGAGGGCCCTCCATACTTATTTTATTTTGGAGCCATTGTTCAATTTTAAGTTCACTTAAACAGCAAAAATCACAGCTAAAAATTATTGATAATTTACCATGTACTACTTGCTTTTCACGTATTGACTTTTAGTTTTCAGAACAACCCTATGAAATAGTCATTAATCCCATTATTACAAATGCAGAAACAAGCACTAGAGGTTAAAAATGAACTGAAGTTCACTTAGCTAGTGGTCTGCAGAGCCTGGGTTCCAGGCCCCAGAGTGTCTAACTCCAGACCCCGCACTTGTATTGACTTACGCTGTGGACAGAGTACCTCTGTGCACTGTTGGGAATATTGGAAGATGGAGAAGACTTAGTCTCTGACCTTAGGAAGTTTAAAATCTGGAGAAAATGATTTCTGCAAAATCCTAAATATAGTTTATGTCATCACAGGTTGGAAATTATGCTGGGAGCTCTGAAGGCATGGGCTGTAACCAGTCCTTTCTGTATCCCTAATGCCAAAATTTAGTTGACTCTTAAAGTTTTTTTGAATGAAAGACTAAGAAAATAGAAGCAACCTTAAGTGATCAGCCAATATTCAGATGGCTCTGAGAGCTCAAATTCTTGTCAGAACCTTTAGATGACTGCTCAGAGTTAGAACAGGTGAAACAAAGAGGAGCTATGGGAATTTAATAGAAAATAAAGTTGTTCCAAGTTAAGCTGGTTGTCTTAAGTCAATCTTAATGCATAAAAGGAAAACTGAAACTGACCTGTAACCCTAGAAAGTGTTAAAAAGAAACACTAGCTGAAATGGCAGACGTTTTTAGTACAAATTGTCAGCTAGCTGGGATTACAAGTCCCTGGGACTGTTGCCATGATGACACTTTTAGTAAGGACCAAGTTGACAATTCACATAATTGTATGAGTAAGAGTCAAAGACATAAATATAATCACCCAGGAAAATATGACTGCATTTTGGATTCTATAAATTGGGCAAATACTATCTTATTTGAAGAAAAAGTTTCTTCTTAGTGTGTATTTCTAGGTGTTGATAGCTGTGGCGTATGTACAAGTGCGTTTACATGATTTAATGATTTGATAAAAATACTTATTTTTCCATTTTGTGCTTGAACAAACAGGGGAGACAGAAGATGAAGCAGGTAAGAAAAGGGTCAGAAAGAAAAGTGAAAGCAAGAAGAGAGATACAGGGACTCCAGTGGCCTTGACAGCAGAACTCACTCCCCTACCTGGTTCTCATGTAAGAGGCCCAAGAAAAAGTGCTACCTGCTTCTTCAGAGAGCTCAGAGAAGAGCTGCAGTGTGCTCCTGCTGTGACCCCCCTGGGCTATCCCTCAGGACCAAAAGTCTCTAGTGCTACAGTATCTCCCACATCCTTGAAGAACAACAGGGGGCAAGTAGAAGTGATAGAATTTCACAGCGGAAATAAAAAAAGACGACAGAAGCTAGATCCAGATGGTAGCACAAAGGTAATGAATTTGTTAATTTATATGGTGAAAACTCTGATATTGAGTATTAGACTTTATAGACTGTGTCAGGAACCCCAAGACTACCCCAGGCTCAAAGCATTTGCTGAAAGCATTCACAGGACCCAAGACTCAGCATATAGTCATAGTCACAATTACAATTTATTCTAGCAAAAGGCTACAGAGTAAAATCAGCAAAGTCAAAAGTACATGGGCCAAGTTTGGAGGAGACCAGGGGCAAGTGTCCAGGAGTCCCCTCCCAGTGGAGCTGCATGTGATATGCCTGTTTCCCCAGTGAAGATATGTGGTAGAATGTGGGAGGTGTTACGAACCAGGGAAGCTCCCCAGCCTGAGTGACCAGGGGTTTGTTGGGGGTTCAGTTAGATAGGCCTATTGACTGACTTTAGTTATTCAAGTTCTACAGCCCCAGAGAAAAAGCGGGTTTTCACCATAAATCACATTGTTAGTATAAGCTATCTGGGCATACCTAGTACAGCATGGCTCAAGGCCTCAGGTGTGCAAAAACACTCTTACTAGGCAGAATATTCTAATTGTTCCATTCCCAAGAGCCAGCCGAGGGTCAGTCACAAAAATAAGGCTTTCTTGGGACTGTGCAGGGTTTTATAAACTCAAGTCCACTAGGTTAACCCATTTATGCTCATAAGCCTTCCTGTTGATAGTGCTCAGAGGAAAGACTGTCATTCAACAAAACTATTTCTGGCCAGTGTTCTAGACCCTGGGATATACCATAATAGACAAGACTACTTTCTCTCAAGGAACTTTTATTCTTTTTTTTTTAATGTCTTAAGAGATTTTTGCCTATTTATTTATTTACTTTCTTTTGATATCATTAATGTACAATTACTTGAACAACGTTATGGTTACTAGACTCCCCCTGTTATCAAGTTCCCCCCCACATACCCCATTATAGTCACTGTCCATCAGCGTAGTAAGATGCTATAGAATCATTACTTGTCTTCTCTGTATATACTGCCTTTCCCATGTCCCCCCTATGCCTCCCCACCACTACATTATGTGTGCTAATCAGAATGCCCCTTTTTCCCCCTTATCCCTCCCTTCCCACCCATCCTCCCCAATCCCTTTCCCTTTGGTAACTGTTAGTCCATTCTTGGGTTTGTGAGTCTGCTGCTGTTTTGTTCCTTCAGTTTTTTCTTTGTTCTGGTACTCCACATATGAGTGAAATCATTTGATACTTTTCTTTGTCCACCTGGCTTATTTCACTGAGCATAATACCCTCTAGCTCCATCCATGTTGTTGCAAATGGTAGGATTTGTTTTCTTCTGATGGCTGAATAATATTCCATTGTGTGTATGTACCACATCTTCTTTATCCATTCACCTACTGATGGACACTTAGGTTGTTCCCATTTCTTGGCTCTTGTAAATAGGGCTGCGATAAACATAGGGGAGGGGTGCATATGTCTTTTTCAAACTGGGCTCCTGCATTCTTACGGTAAATTCCTAGAAGTGGAATTCTTGGATCAAATGGTATTTCTATTTTGAGCTTTTTGAGGGCCCTCCATACTGCTTTCCACAATGGTTGAACTAGTTCACATTCCCACCAGCAGTGTAGGAGGGTTCCCCTTTCTCCACATCCTCACCAACATTTGTAGTTGTTTGTATTTTGGATGGTAGCCATCCTGATGTGAGGTGACATCTCATTG